AAATGTTCATCAATCTTAAAGTTTTCAGAAAGCATATTTTAATTCATTTGATTATTTTTGAATGACTATGCAAACGTTGGCTTTTCTGTGTACACATACAAGCTGTTATAGCCGGGAGCTGGCAGTCACATTTCTTGCAGTAGATGCTCGGTTAAAAAGACCCTTTGAGTGAAAATAGATCATGTACACAATGAAGGTTCTCAATGGCAAAAGGCTTGATGCTGTGGGGATTATTTCCAGAGAAGAGACAGAGAATCGGGTAACTTCTATTTCAGAGGCTTCCTCCTAACAATGCACATTTCTTTGTTTTCACGGACTTCTGTTATTGTGTTAATTTCCCGTTGCTTCTGTAATAGATGACCACAGACTTAGGGGCTTAAAACAACCCAACTGTATTCTCTTAAAGTTCTGGAAGTGAGAGGTCTGAAGTCAGTTCCGCTGAGCGCAAGTCAAGGTGTCAGCAGGCTTGGTTCCCTCTGGAGGCTCCCAGGGGAAAATCTGTTGCCTTGCCCTGTTCAGCTTCTCGTGGCCACCTGCGTTCCTTGGCTAGTAGCCCCCTCCTCTATATTCAAAGGACATCGCCCGAGTCTCTGCTCCGACCACCCTGTTGCCACCTCCTCTGGTTCTGATTCCTCCTGTCTCCCTCATGAGGACCGCCGTGATCACAGTACACGCCTCTCTCTTATTCCTGCAGCCACATCCAGTCCCGTGTTGCTGTCAGATCAGCATTTCTCACGCTTCACCCTCTCCCTGTCTGCTCCGTGTCACCTCTGCCTCGGTTCAGACTCTTCCCTCTTTTCTGGCCCAATTCCAGCAGCTGTTGGAGCGCCTCCCACCTCTCCTTCCCTCCACTGGGTCTTCTGTATCACACCGTAGGTTATCCTTCCAAAGCACAGACCGCTTTCCCACGCAAGATGGTCCCCGGGATCCTCAGGCCCACACATGCCTTCGGAGCCGGCCCCTGCCTCTCTCTCCCTCATGGCAAGCCACCATCTTCTGCATGCCCGCCATTGCTACCACACCAAACTGTGTGCCCTTCCCCGGCTGCGCAGAGGTGTCCCCATAGCTTGTCACGTTATGTGAATGGGATCTCTCTTTTTTCAAATCCCTTTCTCCATCCCCTAAACAGTAACGTAGCTCCTCTCGCTTACATTGTACATGTTACAGTGATACTAGAAATACATACGGGCAGGGCCTTGCAATTTCTTAGTTGTCAGGGCAGTTGAATATATTAGGAGATAACATTTGTACTTAAGAGGACTAATCTACATGGAAGATGATCATATACACACGGCTTTCCATTGCTTTGGAAAGATAACCTACGGTGCGATACAGAAGACCCGGTGGAGGGAAGGAGAGGTGGGAGGCGCTCCAACAGCTGCTGGAATTGGGCCAGAAAAGAGGGAAGAGTCTGAACCGAGGCAGAGGTGACACGGAGAAGACAGGGAGAGGGTGAAGCGTGAGAAACGCTGATCTGACAGCAACACGGGACGGGATGTGGCTGCAGGAATAAAGTGGGGATAACCCTGAGGTTTCTACTCTGATGGTCTGGTAGGCGATACCCTTAACCAAGAGAGGGAGCACGAAGAGGTTTAGATGCTGCAGCAAGAGGAGTGGATAAACCTTAATTTTAGGCATCTTGGACTTGACTTTCCTATGGCACATCCATAAACTGATGTCTACTGGAAGGTCAGAAACACAGAGCAGAGACCAGGACCTGGGTGCAGGGGGAGCTGTGGGAGTGAGGGAAGTGGTGTGGTGCCCTAGCAACTGGTATCAGGTAAGTTGGCAGCTGGGCAGAGGGCAGACGCCAGTGGCCAGCATACAAGGAGGACCCGGGGGGACACTGAGTCAAAGAGCCAACAGAGGAGGGCCCTTCACAAAGAAAGGAAGATCTCGAAATGTCACACAGACCTCGAAGCGGATGAGGAGGTCACCTGCCTTCAGAGTCGTGCAGCCACTGGTGAGCTCCGGGACACCTGTTTCCGAAGAGTGGGAGGCAGGAGCAGGATCACAGTGGGCTGAGAAACGGAAGCAGCATGTGGAGAACAATCCTTCGAGAGATCTGGGCTAAGGGGTTTGGAGGGCACAGTCCGTGGGAGCCTTCTATAGGATGGGGAGACTTCTGTTTACTTTCTAAACTCTTCGGGTGTCCTTGCTCTGTGCTAGGTGCTCTACTAAGCCTCTTACAACCATTAATTCATTTTCTCCTTGGAGTGGTTAATTTTTTGTGTCGACTTGGCTAGGCCATGGTCCCCAGATATTTGGTCAGACACGTATGGATGTTGCTGTGAAGGTATTTTTAAAGTGAGAGTAACATATAAATCAGTAGGCTGAGTAAAGTAGAGTACCCTTCATAATATGGGTGGGCCTCATCTAGTCAGTTGAAGGCGTTAAGAAAAAGACTGACCTCTCCCAAGGAAGAGGGAATTCTGCCAGCAGACTACCTTTGGGCTCAAACTACAGTATCGGCTCCTCTCTGGGTCTCCAGTCTGCAGGCTGACCCTGCGGATTACGGACTTGCCAGCCTCCACAAATGTATAAGCCAATTCCTTAAAATAAATCTCTTTCCACACACACCCCCCACCCCCACACCTTATTGGTTCTGTTTCTCTGGAGAACTTTGTCTAATACACTCTTTGTAATAACATTATTATTATCATCGCCATTTCACAGTTGAGGAAACTGGCACAGAGAGGTTAAGTAACTTGCTCGGGGCCACACAGCCAGTGGGTAGCAGAGCCGGAGTAACAATCCAGTGTGCCCCCGGGCCCCTTGCTCTTAACCACATGTCATGCTGCTGCTTCAGTGCGCTGACCTGGGCACGTTTGGGGCCAACTAGGAGGTCGAAGGGAGAGAAGCAGAACACACAAGGGGATAAGAGCCTCAACAAACGCACATCTCACACAAATGAGAAAACAGGCCCGGGGATTTGCCCAAGGTGGGACTTACAGCTTTATAAGAGCAGACCCAGGTTGTCAGGATACAAAATACAAGCTGTCTCCCTTCTCCTTCCTACTTTCTCCCGTGTTCTTCTGAGATTCTCCCAGGCACGCCCCTCTCAATCTGTCTTCTTCTGGGAGGTGTTGGGCTCCTTAGGTCCCGACTAAGTCCTCGAGAACACACGTCAGCGGCAGCCTATCTCAGTGCAGGATTATGTTAAGGAAATGATACCGTCCATCTGTCAACGTCAAGTTTAGTACGTCTTTAGTGAAATCAGTGAATTCCACACAAATGATTATGGCTCCTGTTAGTAATTATTTGGAAAGCAAAATGAAGCAAAAGCGAAACAAAACAAACAAAACAAGACCAAACCGCAACAAACCCCAGACACCCAACAGGCATTTCTTTTCAAATATAAATTCCCAGAACTATGATTTGACTCCTCATGGAATTAGGTATCTTTGAAAATACATTTGACATCAAACATCTCCCAATAATCTTTATGCATGGTCTAATGCTTTAAAATTCTGGATGAGGGCATCTGAAAACTGGTATTTTCAAGCTTGACTTTCAAGGGACGGGGTACCGAAGGGGTATAAGAACGAAGATGGTATGAAAATCTAAGCACACAAGCATGTGTGCCCATATTGTTGTGAAGAGCACCAACTATACAACTTCCTAGCGAACAATCTGGAAAGATGTATTAAAAGCTTTAGAATTTCATACATTTTTAATCCAGCAGTATCACTTTCTCTAAAATTTTATCCTAAGGAAACAACCATGGCCATGCCTAAAGATTTAGCTACAAAGATATTTTTTGTAGCACTGGTAAGAATAGTAATGTTTTCTCTAATTATAGGGCACAGAGCAACCAAATTATGACACATCGACAAAATGAAATACTACGCAATCATTAATTTTGACACTGCAGAGTCACAGCTGATGCTACATAAAGATGTTTATGATATGCAAGTGGTTTTTAAAGGCAAGTTACAGAACAGTATTATAGCATATATCCCATTCCTATTAAAAATACATTTTGCGGAAGGCAGCCTTTCTAAGAGGGCCCAGGGATCCATCCCCACCTGCTGGTGTTCACGGGCCTGTGCAGTCCACCCCACCCTGGACCTATGTTGGGCCCTGGGATCAACAGCATCTGGAAAGAAGTGATGGTGTGTCACACTTTGACATTAAGTTGTAAAAGACTGTGACTTCCATTTTGCCCACTTATGCTTCTGTATTTTATTTTGTTTTTTTCTCTTGGATCATTTGCTCCAGTGAACGCAAGCGGCCACGTAGTGAGCAGCCCTATGGAGAGACCCCCAGGGCAAGGAATGAAAGCCTCTGACCAACAGATCAACAGCTAGTGAGGAGCTGAGGCCTGTAACAGCCCTGCAGGATTGGAAGCACGGTCACCAGCCCCCACCCGACCCCGAGATGAACACAGCCCAGGTTGGCAGCCCGACGGCAACCTTGCTGGAGGACCTGACCCAGAAACCACCCAGCTACATTGTCCCTGGACTCCTGACCCTCCAGAAATGTGAGATAAGAGATGCTCACTGTTGTTTGAAGCTGCTGAGTCTTAGGGCAATTTGTTGTGCAGCGATAGATAACACATACGTGCATGGTGAAATGACTGGAAGGATATAATGCCAAATACGATTAGTGGTTTTCTCTAGGTGGGGGGATTAATGGGTCATTTTAGTTTCTCTTGGGACGTTGTTGGCAACATTTTTCCTTTTTCATTAAACTTAAAAACCACATGACCAAGAGAGACGATAGAACCTAAAGAATAAAAGGCTAAAGATTAGGGGAGCCAATTTTAGCTCTAATAACCTTTAAAGACTCAAGTAAGTTAGCTTAAATGTACAACAAAAACAAAAACAAGAGAACCCTCCAGAGAGCGTGCCTGCATGGCCCAGTGGCGTGAGCTTCACCAGCCAGAAACCGTGCAACGTTCAGTACCTTCAAGGAAAGGAGATTTGCATGGGCTTCTTGAAAGGAAAATCAAACAGTCATGAAGTCACCTGCTAGCCAATCACAGGAGTCTTGCTTACCCAGCTTCTGGTCAAACCGCCACGCGGCAACATAGGCATTGTGCCTCAGAATGCTCTGTGTGGCCAGAGGCACAGTGACGTAAATGGGACCATCCACCAGCACCGGTGTTCCATCGCTGCTGAGCAAGTGGACGCTGACGGCCGTGACTGGGGTCAGGTCATACCTGGTGCCATTTCCTGGAAGCAAGAGGGATTCTCCATCACATGTGCAAAAGGGACCTACAGGGGGCTCCTGCCACCGTCTGCATCTGCCATTCACTGAGTATGGTACCTCCTATGTGCCAGGGACGGCAGTAAGCCCTTTACATTTATAAAATCCTCACCGCATCTTTGTAAGGTAGGCAAAATCCACATTTTACAGATAAAAGACCCAGGCTCACAGAGGGTAGTAATGGGAACTGGCCCCAAGGGCATGGTGGTCTGTCTGGGATCTAGGCTCAGGTCGGCCGACTCAACTACACTATGGTGCTTTGCTTTCAAACAGGGGCCTCAAAAGGAAAAGACTTGTCTATAACATGAGAGGAGGCAATGTGTAGAAATCCCTGAAATCAACGCCTAGACAAAGTCAGCTCCATGCCCGTGTTAATTACTTGGCAGAGCCCCATCAGGAAACCAAATGTTTTGCATTAGAGACTGCTTAAAAAAAAAAAAAAGGAATTTTTTTTTTTTCAAGGAGTGCTTCAAAATCCTAACTTACTTCTACTAAAAGTATGCTACTGAAAACCTGGACTTGAAATTTTTATGAGTTATTTTAGTTGCCATTGTTATTTTGATCTGTTTAAAAGGAATTTAATATCCCAATTATTCTACATTAGAGGCCTTTTACTCAAGCCAATGCTTTAATGACTGCCTACTTTATAGATAAATCAGGGAATGCTTATGACAGTGATATTATATTTATCTACTTAAGTAATCCATTTTAGGACAATTTTTCTCCAGTGAAATATGATATCACATAAAATGTTTTCTGTTATAATTTTAAATCTTGAGCACAATGATAAAAGCACGGTGATAAAAAATGTAAGCTCCATTAGAACATAATCTGTAGCATTTCTCACTAAGCTACTTAGATACTTACCTACCCGTCAACTACCTGAGCTAATGCGAACCTCCACTTAGGACTAGATGTAAACATTTAAAGCAAATCTAAGTGAATTTTAGAGTTTCAACACAAGTTACAGCTAAACTCTTTATAGAGCAATTTATATGAGTCATGACAGAACTACCTTTTACAATTTATATTCATCTCTGTCATTGAAGGAGAAGGCCCGATAATGGGAATTTCATCAAAAGGTCCACATTGGAATCACAGGTTCAAGTTCTGAAATCTTTCAGTCTGGCCACTTCACTTGAGGGTAAAGAAAACCCAGAATTTACCAGATTTCTGGTCAAAATATCTTCTGGATTGAGATCTAAATGTGCCAACTGCCCAAAGGGGACACAAAAGTCAAGCCAAGTCTACAATGTACCTCTCTAGGTTCTGTTAGACTCTCCGGATGAGACAGACCTGAAAACCAAGAGAAATTCAGGGACTCACTAGATTGTAGTAAACAACTCAGACATAACGTTCTCAAATGGGGAGCACTGCTGCTTTCAGCAAACCCGAGGCAGGAGGTCTGCACAGGGAAGCAGCAGGTAGACTAGGAAAGCCTTCTAGACTCCTCATCCATCCTTGCCTCCCACTTAGCTCTGCCTCCTCATCCCCACTCAGCAATTCTCCCTCCCTATTTTTTTTGCACATTCCTGGCCCAGGAAGCCAGGGTTCCAGTACCAGATGCACCCACTAGCTGCATATGTGGCTTCGGGGAAGTTACTTCACTCCTCAGGGATTTTTCTTATCTGCATTATCTGGACTAGATGCCTTCCTATGAGCCTATGGAAAGAAAACAGACTCAGCTATAAACATTTAGAAGTAAGTACAGCATTGCAGAAAAGGGCATCTTAATCAAAGCAATATACATTAGGTTCACGTGATTTAAGGGTCTTTTAAAAGCTCTCTGTTAGAAGACAGAGCAGGCAGTCACACTTGATTTCCTGAGGCTTCTTTTCTCTTTCTCAGTGCCCCGCTAAATGCCCACTCGTACTCTATGCCTTCCCAAACACTCTCCCTTTACCCTCCCACTCTATTCTGGAACAAGTCATACTTTGACGGGCTCAACTGTCTCCCTTCCAGCACTTGTTCTAAGACTGCAACTCTAAACAAAGCACTGAGTTCTGTATATAATGAGATCTTTCCCTCTTGTTCCCTCCTGATGTTACCAGGCTCCTGTCATGTCCCAATAAAGACAGGTGTCAGGCAAAGGCGGCAGGGGCGGCACCACTGGACCAAGCTTAGGAGGCCTCCGACCCGTCCCTTGTAACATGAGGGGTTTTGCTCAGAGAGCATCTAGGGTTTCTGTTTGGCTTTGCATTCTGTTTCTAGCTTTGCTGGATGTTAGTCATTTTACGGACTCTTCTCTGTCTTCCTGGAGTTACTAGCAGGAGTCATTTCTCGAAAACCCCTTGGGAATGTCAGAGGACGGTTGTGTGCTTTCTTAGCAAACCAGAGTGGGGAGCGTGATGCCGTGAAGGTGTAGTGTCTCCGGCCTGTGTGGGGGAGGTGGCGGCCCCATGTGACACAAGGACACTACGGAGCAGGGGAACGCAGGTGAACAAATGAGAATATGGGCCAAATCTCCATCTGGCTGAGTTGTTCTATTTGCAACTCTGGATAAACTCCCTCTGAACTGGACACAACCAAGAACACTCCAAGGACACCAGCCTTCAGAGCCCTTTCCAACCCCACTTGTGGCCTCCATTCACCTTTGCCGGACTCTGGTTAGGAACTGCCGTCTCACACAGCTATGTGTGGGCCAGGCCCTCACGAAAAGCTGAGATCTCTTAGATGCATCTTATAAAACAGGAGGCAAGCAAGCAAGTGTTGGGGGTGGGGAAGAGAGGCTCTGCACCATGGGAAACTGGAGACAGGCACCTAGCTGGTGAGATGTCGGGGTGCTAAAGCGGAGCCCACGCTCCAACACGCTCACAGGTGTGAGCCAACACGCCCAGGGGTGGTCGCCTTTCCTGGCAGCCCTCAAGTAGGTCGGATTCCTCTTCCCACATCAGCTGTCAGTGTTTTCAGTGGAAAAGAAGTTGCATGTGACCTTCTAAAGACCTTCTTTCTTCCCTCTGAAATAACAGAGTGATTTTAAAATAAAACAAACCCCTTTAAAATCAATAGTTCTATGTCTTTGTATTCTTCTCCCTTCCCCATCATCTCGGATTTCATAATTTATTCAAGAGCTCTTGGAAATGGGGCACAGAAAAATTAATGAGCTCTGAGGAATGAGGTCTTCCCTCCAAGTTAGGGTTTTATGATTGTGCACCATTTGTTGGGGAGACTGGGTGGAGGTCGCATGATGGTCTCAAATTGTACTTTTTCACGTTCCCTGAAATACTACTTTTCTCCTTGGCCTGTACGCTTAGAGTAAAAGTCAACATTTTCCCCCCAATAATGTTTACTTAAAGTGACTACCATGCAGTTTTATCTGACGGCCAGTTACTGATGCCTTAATTGTATCTTCATCATGTATAAAATTAAGTAAGAAGAACTATTTCTGAAAGCAGGTGCCACAGACGGCGAAAAGTGAGTAACAAATCACCAGGTCACCTTGATTGGTCACCAGAAATTCGTCAGCATTCTACGAAATGGATCATATGCTACAGGTGTAAAAACTTTTTCAGAAGGACCCAAGATCCGTTTATGTAAAGCACTGGACAAGTCAGGGAAATTCAATAAAAGCGTTTCTGGGAAAATGCAGTCACTTCCTCACCTGGCAGGATTTAACCCAGAACAGCCTCTGGTTTTCAAGTTCATGTTGTGACTAATCAAAAGTGTCGGGAAAAGAAGAGGGGAGACAAGAAATGACTCAGGACCTCAGCATCTGCCACTTTCCAGTCCCTAGGACTAGGGACCACACGAGTGCCGAGTGCACTGTTGGCTGCAAGCCAGTCTTTTTACTGATAAGGAATTATTGCATATTTTCTGGCTGCTGGTTTTTAGTTTCTCTGATTTTTTAGCTCTATGTGTCCGGCCAATCTAGAGTGACACGGACCAAGCTGACTTAGAGGTCTGGATTCGAATCAACATCAATGCCTGACCACCGTTTGCCGAGTCAAGGCAGAGAGAACAGGTCAGAGGATGGAAAGATGTGGGAAAATGCTGGCTGGGTGCAGGTGGCACAGAAGAGGCTCCCGCTCCTAAATGCTCCTGATTCCTAGACATGACATCCCGGTCGCCCCCACTCTCTGCGTCAGAGCCACTGCCCCCCTCCCCCGCCCCGCTGTGACCCGTGGGCGGGAGGGGGAGGGCGGCCACGCAGGCGGCTCCACCAAACCCACTCCAGGGGGAAGCGGGACAAGGGCAGAGAGCTTTATACCTGGGAAAAACAAACGAACAAAAAAACCCAACTTCAATTATAAGTACTTCTCTGAATTAAATATATTTAGTCTACCAAAGGGGAGCTCTGAAGGTACGTCAGCCAGGATGGCTGAAGGCGACAGGTGCACTCAAAGGTACTTCCACTGTGGTGTAGACGGGAATCCCGAACTAACACCGCTCCAACGCATTTGAACTTTCACAACTCCGGTGGTTCTTCCGGGCAGTACTAACGCTTTGAGCCACATCCCCAGATGCAACCACAGAAGCCCCAGCTGAGAGGAGAACAGACTCCAATTACCTGTTCCATTTCCATCCAAGCCTCGCAGATAAGGAAAACTGTCCACCTCGGCCGGGGCGCTGGCGGCCGTGAGGAAGGCCGTCAGGTCGCTGTAGCTGGTGTTCTCGGGCAGCCGCAGGGCTCTCCTCTGGAAGTGAACGCGAGGCTGTGGCCGGGCACCTGCAGAAATGAACTTCGGAGTTACCTCCCGGGGGAGCGGCAAATCTCAGGCAACCAGGAAGCGCTTCTCCACTTTGGAGCGCGCCTCCCCGCCCCCGCCCCCTCCCCCTCCCCCTCGTCCCCGCCTCTCCGCCCATCCCCCATTCGCCGCGCCCCGCAGGGCACAAAGATGTGACAACATGCTATTATGGGGACAGAAATAATAGCCCATTGTCACATTTGTTTTGACACAGGATGTTATTTAGGTTTTTAACAAAAAAGCTTTCCAAGTCCTATTTGTGAACAAGCTTTGCACTGCCCAGCATTCTCACTTGGGGGGGGGGGCAATATTTTAGGAAAGGAAGTCCGCATCAGTGAAACGAGTAGATGACAGTTCATCTCTTTACGTAAACAAAGCAAGCGACACCCTTTGAGGCTGTTACAAACACCTCCTTAATCTTCTGGTAAAATCTGGTTTCCCTCCACAGACCAAACTGAAGCCGGGCAAGGGAATTCAATGTGCAGCCTGGACAAGAATTCCAAAGGAGAAGCTGCCATGTGGCATCCAGTCTCTGCGGGTGGGGTGCACCCTATTTGTCACAGCTCATGTTGGGCGTTTGAGGACAAGGCTCTAGAAAGGAGGTGGGGAACGCTCCCTTTGGGGCAGGCAGCTCCGTGTGCGGAAGGACGGGCTGGGCCCCTTCAGACAGTTACCCGGGTGATACTGTCTGCAGCATGGGTTCCAGATGTTGTTTTGGCTGCAGAACCCGAACCTGTGTTCCCCTAATGCTATGGCGACAGTCATAAGACGTCGAGGTGCTAAATCATTTTGCGCAAACCCAGCAAAAACATCCCGAAGACACAAGTTAATACAAGTGGGAGTTGTGGCACTTACACACTTCTGTGGATTAAAGTAGCCGTTCCTCAAAAGCAGTGATCTGCCCTGGCTTTCTGGCCACTGCATATCCTGCCCCAGGCCCGCAGTTTCCCCTGTGGTCAGCTGGGGGCTCCCTGACCGCCGTCTGGGGCCAGGGCTGTCTGGCACCACAGCCCAGCCCTGAGCTGATGGTCTTTATGCCTGCCCCAGGGTTCCTTTTAACCCTGGATCAGAAACTTTCAGGTGGGGAATAAGCTTATCCAAAAGGGTTCTAGCAGAAGAGAGTTTTAGAGCTCAAAGATATCAGAGTCCACATTGTTCTTCCTACAAGTAAGCCACAGAAGCTCAAGAGACATGAAGTTTGGGGTAGGCTGGCTGGAGCATGTACCAGTGAAGTGGCAGAGAGTCAGATGCCCCCCATACCACCTAAAAATCACTCGTTAGAGTTCTCAGATGACTGGTTCTCCACTCCGTGAAACACAGGCCCCACTTTTGGGCCCCTGGGAGCCCGATGCCCCAAGTCATGACTCCTATCTGCATTCCGTCACCTCCACTGAAACTAACTGGACGGATACGCGGTCCTGTCTCAAACCTCCATGGCTTTTCTCTACCCCCAAAACAACCCACGGCGATGCACTAGCATCCAAGTATCTGTCTCTGTTCACTCCCAGCTCTGCTCAGTCTGGTCTTTTCCTTTGATGTCACAGAAGACTGATGTCTTCCTTCTGTCACCTCCTTGGTCCACACAGAGTCCGGACACCTTGAGCCCCCCAGGAGCACCTCCACTCCTGGCAAGGAGCAGTCTGCTTCTCTCTTCTTCTCCCTGCTGCACTCGGGAGATGGAAAGTCAAAGCCAACCTTTTCTTTTTCACCCCCTCACCCCCAACGACATAACATTACTCCCTCCCTGATCCTATTATTGTCGTCAGTGATAGTGAACTTTCTGAGAACTTATTTCCCTTTGTCTACTGTTTTTCGATCTAAACAATGCTGCTGGTGCCTGCCTGGGTTACAGTGGGGGAAACAAAGAACTTGCTAATAAGAAAATATTATCTACAGTGTGACGGGGCCAAGAGGGACTTGTCCTCATGAGGGTTGAGGCAGAAAGGGTAGGATAGGTGCTGCCTTCCAGGCCTCAGGAAAAGGGTAACTGCTGACAGGTGAAGGGGGGTCACACTGACCCCCTCAGGGGGACTGGCCTGGAACCTGCAGACCCCAGACCTAGCTGCTCCCCTGCTCTCAGGGGCCACCGGCTGTCCTCCCTTCCCTCTCTCCCTCACCTCTCTAACAGACACGCAGCCTTCTCTTGCTCTCTGGCATATCATGCATTTTAGTGGGAAATGCATCTCTCTCCCCTCCCCACCCCTCCTCCTCTGCCCTCCCTCTGCCGCCTCCCCTTCCTTTTTTGTGCAGGAGAACTTGGTCGCGAGCCAGACATCTGGGGTCTATCTGCTGTGACTGGTGGGTGGGGGGCACAGAGGGGCAATGCCTGGGGCAGGTTAACTAGCAGGGGACGTGGCCTGTCCAGCTGACTGGATGCACGCTGTGACCAGCATGACATGGATCCCTGTCTGCTGAGGGACCAAACACACTCCCAGACACAGAGCAAAGGCAAGACCTCTCTCTGCCTGCCGAAATGACCCAAGAAATATCTGAGGAGTTACAGAAGGGTGGAAGTCACTCTAGGCCTCAGTGTAAATGGAACCCAAAGTGTCTGTGTGGGGCTGGGGGGCGGTTAGGCCCTCACGCCTACCTTCCTCTATCAGCGCTGCTGGATTTCCGCGATTCCAGGACGGGGTGTGATTGGCTGGGGATGGGAAGACCGAGGGGACAGGCCTGGCTAGGTTTTTTCTGGATGACTCTCCCACATTCCCCACAACAGCGGGCTCTCCAATGTTCTCTGTTCTTCTCAGACTCAGGGCTCCATCCCCAGCCCCAGATGCTCAGGGCCTCTGTTACTGGAAACACTGGGGCGACCACCTCCTGTCTCTGCACCTCAAAACCTCTGCCTTCCCTCTTCTCCTGACCTTTCTATCCCCGCTCTCCTCCAGAGCCAGTCAAGCCAAGCCTCCACCCCAGCTTCCGCTTGTGATGCTGCAAGACTTGGCCCAACCAACTCTTCTTGCCTTTGTTAATCATCTTTCTCTACAGGCTTCTCCTCCACAGCCAACAAACATACGCATTCCTTCCTCATCGAGAAAAATGACACCAAAACAGGACTTGAATGCTGTTATCCCCGTAAGGGAATGCCTCCTCTCCTTCCACCCAACCCCCAACGATCTGGCTGTTACCCACAACACACACCACCCTCGGAAATGTCAATGGATGACTGTATAATCTGCAAACCCATGACTATTTCTCGGCCTTCCTCCTCACTGACCTCTTCACAATGGTCCACACTGTTCACCGCCCCCGCCCAGGAACCCCTCCTGCTTGGCATTCACAGTCCTGCACGCTGGTCTCTCGAGTCAGCCGGCTTTTTCCTCCGCAAGTATGTTTTTTTCTCCTCCCACCTCCAGATGAAACAGTTCCTATGGGGCTGCCTTCAGCTGCCTCCACTGTTTTTGGGTTCTTACCTTATTGACTCCCCTCCATGGTGGCCTTCCTGTCCGCCCCGATGCTCTTCCGAGCCCAGTGTCTGTATTTCCTCTGCCTTCGGGACACCTCCACCTGGATGCCCCACCGGCACTCCAACACCATCCCCTAGTTTCTCTCCCACTTCACCACACCCCCATTCTGCTCAACACCCAGCTTTGCTTCCAGGCTGCCATCATTTTCCCTTTTGATTTTTCCGCACATCCACTCACTGCCAGGACTGGCCAATCTCCTCTCATCAACATTTCCAGCATCATCTTCTCTTCCTTTTCTGCCTCCACCCTACATCACCCTACATTACCCCCAGCCTTTCACCTTTGCCGCTCCAACTACTGACACACTGATTTTTCTAAAGTCACTCTGGTCACATTCCTTTTCTGCTCAGAGACCTTCAGTGGATTGCCACCACTTAGTAAACAATGATGGCAGTGACAGTTACAGACTAGCACAGACCCAAACTGCTACAATTCCCATCCTGTAAGTGAGAGGTGCAGTTCAGTACTTCAGAATTAACAGTTTTTGTTTTTTTTTTAAAGATCTTATTTGAGAGAGAGAGAGAGAAAACGGGGAGGAGCAGAGGGAGAGGGACAAGCAGACTCTTGCTCGGCGCTCAGCGGGGCTCAATCCCACAACCCTGAGATCATGACCTGAGCCGAAACCAACTGAGCCACCCAAGTGCCCCCACAAAGTTCTTATATACATATTATTTCACTTGATAGTTACAACAATCCTGTGAAGAAAGAACCCTCTCCTCTTTATGAGTGAGGAAGCGGAAGCCCAGAGAGGTTCCACAGTCATTCTGTTAGTAAGAGACAGAAAGGAATTCTTCTGATCCTAATTACTTTTCCCCTCCTAGTACACCATGCCTACCTCTCACCCTCCGGCCAAGCAGGACTGCACAGCTCTGTGCTGTGAACACATATGTTCATGCCTTTTCCCCACAGTCTCTGTCTGCACATCCTACACATCATCCAAGATGTGTCCTAAATGCCACCTCTTCTGTGGAGACGTCCTTGATCCCACCCCAACCTCTAAATGCTATTTGTATCTTTCTCTCTCCAGCATGGATTTTTTCTTTTTTAAGATTTTATTTATTTGAGAGAGAGAGAAAAAACAGAGCAGTGGGGAGGGGTAGAGGAAGAGGGAGAAGCAGACTCCCTGCTGAGCAGGGAGCCCGATGTGGGGCTCGATCCCAAGGCCCCGGGATCAGGACCTGAGCTGAAGGCAGACGCTTAACCGACTGAGCCCCCCAGGTGCCCCTCCAGCACGGATTTTACTGTGCCCTGTGTTATGTTTATTTGGAAATGTGTACATGTCCCTAATCAGAGGCACCATGAGAAAAGAACATGGAGCAGTGGAATCACTCAGCGCTACATTTAAATCTTTCTTCTATCATCTTTTATTTGAGTGACTTTGGACCTCAGGTTCTTTACCTGTTCTTTACCTGTTCTTTCAAACAGGTATGAATCATGCTTGTCTCGTAATATGGTGTTGTGATGCCAGATCCGAGCGCACACGCATGATGCCTAACAGGGCCTCTGGGTACATA